AGGATTTGGTTGATCTCTTATGAGTGGTGAAGTTACTTTTTAATGGAGAAACAGATTGACTTATAGACGTCTGTACAAGCTGATACTTTTTCTAAGTTTGTAGTTTATCTGCAACAGCATCACAGGTGTTATCTGATACATAGACAACTGTGTCGTCAGCGTACTTCTGAAGCCCCATACCAGAACAAATATCCGGCAAGTGTATCTGTCATAGATCTGATAGTAAAACTTAATATCATGAATGTTCGAATAAATATGAAAAGTCATGGCGTTACAGCAAGAAAGTGCACTGAGTGTCAGGGGGCACGTTGCCATGAATCTTGTGAGCTCTATTATACAGTCTCGCTATAGGTTCATCGGTTTCCTTTGTAAGAGAGCAGATTGGGAGACAGGAGGATGATGTCCAGTGTTTTTGGTTTGCTTGTTTAATCATTTATTTTCGAGAAGTTAAATAGTAAACCTTTACTGCCCATGTCATGATACATCATTAATGTCGTTATTTTAGGCCAAGCTGCACCTCCAAGTGATGATAAGGTGAAGCCAAAGCAAAACTGCAGTCCCTCAAGCGGCCACTTGAGGCTGACTCCTAAAGTGAGCTCATCCCCATAGAGCCCTGTGTCAATGTGCCCACCGTTAGCTGAATTAGTCATGTTTAGAGCATGAAATAGTTTTTGCAACTAACTCTTTTGAATGGCATGAAGGGTTTAAGTTATACAGAGTTAGGGGCGTGGCCTCTTTGAGTGACAGGTGTGAGCTGCACTTGTCCTGAAAGGTGTCACCTCAGCTGCTTCAGTGAGTGAACTTCACTTCTCACTTCTGTGATGTTGCCTTCTGAAGGTTTTTTTTAGAAACAATGAGGTTTCCGACATTGTTCATTTTACGAACATACATTGATCTATCCTCCAGTGTGTGAGGACTCTGATGTGGACTTTTCAACTGCAAATTATGCATTTGCCATCAGTCTGCATATCTGCGGACTTTCCTGTGGGAATTACCCAGAGTTTATTGCAAACTCTGTCACTCCTCTCCAGCACCACCTTGATGTCGAATTATGGTCTTTTCTTCAAACACGTGAAACTTCAATAGTCAATAAATCATCTGATGATGTCGAGGTGACTTTGTTCATGTGTATATGATAAAGTATAATAATTAGCCTGACTAAGAACCTGTGACCACACAACAGTGTAACCCATTGACAAAAACAACAAGAAGACACAGAATTATTGCTGAGGATATAAATCAAGTTTAGTGTGCTCAAATTCTGAGCAGTCAGAGGTCTCTTTGCACCTCCTGCTGGCCGATAGAGAGAATGCACATTCAAAGGGATAGTTCAGTATTTTTGAAGTTCACTCAACAGCCTTCATACATGTGTGGTGGCAACTTAGTCTGCAGAGACCCCATCATCCGCATGGATTTTCATGTTTGGGTTTGTGTTGGTTGACTCGTCTCGGGACATTTCTGGGTGATGGTGTGTTTCCCCCAGCCAATGACAGCGCGCAGGAGAGTTTAGGAATGGATACAATTTAACAATTTGATGCGATTCAAAGATATGACGGACGTAGAAATGGCAGCAAAGAGTTAATTTTGGGGCTTTTTATGCTTTTAATTAGAGAAAGGACAGTGGATAGAGTCAGACAAACAAAGAAATGCAGTCTAATTTAGATTACTCCTCAATATAAGAAAAAAAACATTTTTGGAGGCTTTTTTTTTTTTTTTTTTTTTACATTTTCTTGTCTAATCTGATGTTCATAAGATGATTTGCTTTTGAAAGTCTATGTAAACATTTCACAGTCAAATAAACATATGTACAATTTTCAAGACTAAAAATGTGTTAATTAGATCCTGGTTATGATGTTTACTTTTTTTTCCTCCTGTATGATAATATTTCTTAATCTTATACAGAGGTGTTTAAGTTGTTGTGGGTGGTAACATGGAACTCTTAATGTAGCCTCTTCCATGACGAGTAATAAAAGGTAATACACCTGATCAGTAAGTTAGCATCGGTGCAGACTTGCAAAAGGAGTGGAAGTGTGTAGGTAGAGGGTGGGTAGAGTGGTTTAAGGAAGGCCCCATGACCTTGGTTCCGTGATTTCACTCCGGCCAGTCTCTCCATAAAGTGGCCACGCTGACCGGCATCTCCTGTGACTACTATACTGACCATTGACAAGTACCTCATGAAAACTCACTTAAAAAATACATTTTACCATGTTTTCTAAGACTAATATATATGTCCATAGTCTGTCTACAAATCCCCCAACTATGAGAAAGTTCATCCTCTCTGTCTTCTGCCTGCTCAACTTTTCAGAAAATGTGTGCTCAAACAGATTGTTTGGAGATTTCCCCTATGACATCACAAAGGGCAGTAACCCCTCCCCCAGATGGGTGACACTCCCACAGCTAGGTGTTTGTTCTGAAAGAAAGCCCAAGCCACCCTAGCCCTTCCAGAGAGGGGCGTGGTCAGACACAGCTCATTTAAATTTAAAGGTACAGACACAGAAACAGCCTGTTCCAAGCAAGGCTGAAATAGAGGGGTTTATAGACATGATCAAATACAGGATCAGAGTGAATTTAGAACAAGGAACTTCACACACATGTTTCAGCAACCCAGTCTCATGTCAAAATGTGTAATACCTACGTTGGTCCAAAGCGCAAAACGTAGTAGTTTCACAATAAGGGCTCTAAAATTGTGACATACGTTTCCTTTTGCCTATTCTTTTGTATAGGCATACCTCAGGTCATGTGACTGCCCAGTTTTCCCCTGGTGAAAAAAAAAACATGGTGGACATCCCTTCTATTTTCAGCAGAAGATGCAATATTTTAAGATGTTTGAGTCTTAAGTGCTGTTTTGATAACCTTTCTGGCGACAAATGTACATTGTGTCTTCATAATCTTCGTTTGGTTTATGTTTATGCTCTTTAGTTTGTTCGTTTCTACAAAGGTTCTTTCAGGTCTCGATAGAAAAACATTGGGTTGTTACATTTTCTACTGTCGCTATGGTGGTAGCTATGGACGCTATCAACAACGAACCGGAAGGAAGTGGCGCCTCTTTTTTCGGCTGCTCTGGTTCCGGAATTAAATTTTCCCATTCAAATCCTCCATTGATTTTTCACAAAATCCTTATATCAAGAGATTGGCGCCTGGGACCAAGACAACAAGCTACCCCAACACTCGTGACTATAGTACATTCAATTTGGAACCAAAATGGCATTAAAAACTGAAATAAAGGTATAGGTTCAAGACTGCGTACATCATTTTCGTCCGGAGTCAAGGAACTACCCATCCCACAATCCATTGCAAATGATATAATTTATTCAGTCTTTCAGGTCTCGCCAGAAAAAACGTTGGGTTGTTACGTTTTCTACTGTTGCTATGGTGGTTGCTATGGACACTATTAACAACGAACTGGAAGGACATGGATGTTCGGTTCGTGGCTCTTAAAACGGGTTACATCAGACCCTAGACATCAAACTAAACTCCTATGCAATAAATAATGATTTCTGTTACATTTTTATGGATGTCTTTTATTATAACCAAATTTAATACAACGATTGGAAGAGATTGATGCATATTAGCAACATTATAAACTATAAAATTGATCAATCCTTGATACATAAAGACAATACTGTACAGTTTGTGTGATTTATATGATTTAACAATTTTATTCAACAAAATAATCCTGACAGATTAATACTATTTTTTAAAACAGGTTTGATTTGACCACTTTTTTACAATATATATAGTCTAGATTATTTTACAAAACCCATTCAGCTTTAGTAAATATTTGATATAGTGGGTAGATATACATTTTTTACAAACCTATCTATATGTCTGACGTCACTTTCCTGCGCCGTCCACTTTGCCATTTCGTTTTCGAGTTGGTTTGAATTGTGAGAACTTTTTAGCACGGCAAGTTTGAAAACGAAAAGCCAAAGACCTTTTTGTTTTCATTTGAATGATGTCATACAATATGCATACATAAAGAGTAAAAGTATAATGCAAACTGGATGACTGAATATTCATTTTAAATATAGGTCAAATAATGCACCTATATTCCGAAAATTAAAATGTGTTTCTGTTACTGCATTTTCATTTTAAAATTAGCTTTTTCATTTGAATTATGATACAGATTTAGCGGGGCATTTTTTGAAAATGATAAAGCAAATGTAATTTTCTTCCTCATTTTAATTTAGTCGATGAATGTGCATTTTTGAAGTTGAAAACTAAAATTCAAATTAGATCAATTAATCATCTTTTTTTTTTGAGTCAAATAATACACTCATTCTGAAAATTAAAAAGCATTTCTGTTAATGCATTTGAATTTTCAAATTAGCTTTATCATTTGAATTCTGATCACTAATCGCTTCCATAGGTTTCAGGGACCTTTGAGATATATTTAAGCTTTTTGAAAAGGAGGAATCACTTTTAAATCAAGAGGCTATGTCCATCTCTTTTATACAGTCTTTGATTTCAGCTATACTTTAAAGTGCATTTTTACTAGAAGACAGCAGATTTTGTTTCCCCTCCTGATAAGTTTTATGAAAAATATTTTTTTAAGGAATTTAAGATTGTTTGAACTCAGACATGGAAAACTGTGAACTAACCTCTTAAACGCACAATATATAGATTCTGCCACCAGGGGGCTTTCAATCAAAACAAAACCAAAAATGACTTTGAGGCTGATGTTTTTATCACGAAATAAAAGCAGCTTTTAGAAAAATTATAACATAGGTTTAGTCCATTTTTAATTAATTTAGATATTTTAATGTAAACATTCTAATAAAATTTTACATATTGTTCCTTTAAAACAGCTGCTTTGTTCAGTTAACACAACATGGTCTGCTAAAACATAACTTATTTTTCTTTATTTATTTATTATAAGTTTATTACAAGTTATTACTCAACACTGCACATCAGGGAGAAGAGAGAGAGAGAGAGAGAGAGAGAGAGAGAGAGAGAGAGAGAGAAGAGAGAGGGAGAGTGTTGCACATGTGCTCAGTAACATATTGAGGAAGTAGCAGTGTGTCAAACAGAATAACGGAGACTTTGACATCTAGCCATGCAGCCTCCACCCAGAAAGGTAAGACAGAGCTGCTTCGATTTAAAGTCAAGTGTTATTCTTTGTTTATTTACGACTACACAGCTTTAATGGTGACCCACAAGCCCATGGTCCTTTCAAGGAAAGTTTTAACATTGAAAGGGCATTTCAATATTAACTGCATCTATATTTTGCAATACTTTAAAGTGTTTGTTTTTGCATTTCCTCCTCTGTGTGAGATGTAAAAGCACCTGCATGTGTTGTGTGTATGTTGTGCAGTGTACATGTTCTCATGACTTCAGGATATTTGTCAGATTTTCAGAATTATTGTGCACAAGCTTTATTCAATGTTAGACGGTTGTGAAGTATGTAAGAATGTAAAGACTTCTGAGACATCACATCTTACACTCTTGTCAAACTCACTAATTTATACAGGCTCACCTGTGTTATACTGTTACACATGGACAACTTGTGATTTGAAAATATGTATATTTAGGGAGAAGAAGTTGAATTTCATTGTATTGTTTCATTGGAGAAATGTATTTCATTTGGTCATGATGAACATATCAGCTCAGGTCTGCTAGGTGATATAGCATCTACTATTCCTGTTGTACAAAAAGATAAAATAATCCTTTATTGATCCTTAGAGGGGAAATTCAGGTTTTGCAGAAACATGAAGGCAAAAAAAGGAAAAAATTAAACACAAATAAAAAAAGAACAGATACTATAAATGTGGTATAGAAAATTGGTTGACAAAGGAGTTAAGTGACCTAATCAGGATTATAAAGAAGGAGTGAATGAGTGACATAGCTTTATAAGTTTTTGCAATTAAGTCATTGCAGAGGTCTTAATTTTTTCACAATAAATAGAAAAATGAATCAATGCAAATAAGCTCTGCTTTCTCACTCATGCACTCATGAAACTCAAGCTGACAGCCACCCTCAGAGGAATTGTTGTAAATGTATTGGTAACAAAACGCTGCAAACAGCTTTAGCTAAAGCTAAAACAGATGATTTAAAATTAGTTTATTTTTTCCAACTTCATATCATCTGGAATATAATACTTTCACCAGGATGAGATCTCAACGACCGTACTGTAGCTGGTAGGAGTGCAAACTCCACAACGTGAAAACAGATGGTACAACAAGAGCTACACAGCTGCACACAAACTGCACTGTGGACTTTGATGAACACAATAGAAATCATCACACCGGAATTTCAAATCATATCCTCTCTTAGGGGCCCCCAAAAATCAGACTGTGTCTTGACCAGATTTTAAGAAACTAATGACTTTATTAAAAAAGGAAGAAAAGTAAAACTCCCTGTGGCTTTGTTGTTTTTACCTCTTTGTTCACACTGACAGGACCATGCTTCCTCTGTCCCTTAGAGGCTCACATGTTTCATACTTGTTTTGCCTGTACATAGTGCATATTATACCTTCAAAATACAGCCGCATGCCCTGTCAATTTCTCACTGCCTATAGTTTTTCTATTTGCTCATCAAATTATAAACAGTGAAAGCATAATTTTTGCTGTTTGTACTCATAATCTTGAACAAATCTGAATTATATAATTTTTGTGTTATCAATATTTGAGCTCTCTTTACAAAGACAAAAAAGAAACAACCACTGCCTTTGTGTTTCTGTATCTGTTTTTCTTTTTTTTTTTTAACATGCGTTTGCAGGTGAAGGAGAGCCAGCAGGTGAAACTTGTGTTCTCGGAGCAGTTGAGCCGATTGCAAACGAAACAACATCAGGACACTGAGCTGCTGGAGGAGATCAGGTACATCTGCATGAAGACCTTCCTTTGGATTCAATAAACATACAGAAGAAAGAAAGAAACATTGAAAGCATGTCTGATACATGTCTGCTGAGTGTGTGTGTCTGTGTTTTTGTGTCTGTGTCTGTGTGTGTCCCAAAGGTCCTTCAGTAAGCAGCGAGCAGCCATAGAGAAAGAGTACGGTCAGGTGAGAACACATCAACTATTCTGGTCCACTGCTAGTTTAATTACTGAAACATTTTTACTGGAAAAGCTCAAACTCTATTGATTTCAGGTCCCATATCAGCACCTGAGAGCTGTGTTGTTGTCTGTTGTGACTGTGTGTGTGCACAGCATGTGTATGTGACACACCCGCTATTCTGCCATCCTTCCTGTGGATTTATAGTTTCATTTCAACTCTCTCACAACATGGTCCAAGTTGGAACGCTTTCAGAGAGCTGCAGAGAGAGCTTTGTGTGCTTTTTCACTGTAGTGGAGAATGTGTAATGTATGTGTCGTGTGTGTGTGTGTGTGTGTGTGTGTGTGTGTGTGTGTGTGTGTGTGTGTGTGTGTGCGAGCATACTAATGCTGACAATTACACAACCAATTGTAAGTGATATGAATGAAGAAATGACAAAAACGCATCACACAGTCTCCCTTTAAACTATGGCATCCTTTACAAATGCTTGATTTGAAAACTTACCCTGCA